CCCCCCAGTGTGGAGGGTGATACTTGGTTAGGGTTGAATCAGAAGAAAAATACTATAAGCTCAAAAGGGGATACAAGGGATATATATTTTCTCCTGTTGTGAAAGGATAAAGAAAGAAAGCCGTTCATCATCTCATACATATAAGTCTTCACAGAAAAGGTATCCCTAGGGGGATAGATTTTCAGGATTAATTCTATTCACATGAAAACAATGTAATTAATGCATGATAGAATTATTTCGAATGAATTGTTTTTTCTGCTTCTTGCTCCCAACATGTCTTAATGTTCAGGCTCCCGGCTAGATGCCCCAAATTGTGTCTTAGAAGTGTGCTCATGTTCAAATGAACAACTCAATACCTTGGGTTTTAATGGTAAAAAAGGCTATTTTTGAGTCTAAAAAAAAGACGGTGGTGTGATCTTATTGACTCAAAGAAAGGTATGGGTGTGTTTAAAAGATAAAGGCAATGTTCAAGAATTTCAAAAGGAGGTAATGTCAAAATTTTGTCTTTTGGTAATGACCACGAGTTATTTTGGGCAAAGAATCAAGGTATTTTATTCTGGGGTTTGAGACAGGGTAAGAAAGGTCTAATCTTGCCATATGTCAAAAATCTATAATTCTTGAAGAATTAAAAGAATCTTTAATTCATTTAATATTCAGAGAACTAAAGATTAAAATTTGTTCAATTGCTCCACCTTAAAAGGTAGCATAAATTCAGTCAAAAGATTAAACAAACACGAAAGATCAAAGCCGTGTTCAAACAAAACAATGCTCTAAGTGCAAATGGTATATGCCATTCCCCCTTCTTCGGCTGTCCATGCCCCTGAATCCATCAAAGTTTGGATCTTGCGCTTCAGTGCCTTACAGTTTTTAGAGGAATGTTTGGGGATCCTTATGTGGTAATAGCTTCAACATTGTAGCCCTTAGGAGATGGGTACTCTTTTCTCATATTATCTTGGTAGGCTTAGTCCTACAATCAGCTGATCCAGCTCCCCCTGTACTGATTTCAGTTTTTCTTTAATTGTTAAAATCTTGTTTCCATGTGGTGTAATGTGGTTAAGACCACTTCATCGAATCCTCTGTGACTTAATTTTATGTTTATGAAAATGCTAAAAAATGTAGATAAAGATGCAAAAATGCAAGAATGCATGAAATGTTCGAGGCATTGACCCAAGAAATGTGCCTGTTATTATGAATAATCCTTATTGGGGACAAAAATGTTTTATCTTTTAAGAGACAAAAATATCCTGACAGCTTCTGACATGTTGACTAGTCTTCTGCTTTCGTCTTTCACCGGTTGAATAACCTGTCGAATAGCTCCGGCCTATCTGGATGAACCGTGAAAATGTTGAGTTATTTTTTGTACTGGTCCAAGAAGCTCGAATGACCGCATCTCGCGCATTTACTTTTGTTGAGCCTGTTTCCAACGAATTCGTCATTTGAGCCCTTAATTGATAGGAACTATGTGAAGTTCATTAGTCTGTTTCTTGAATTCGCCAACAATGGTCTCCAATTTCAGCTATCATTTTGCCATTGTCGTGTTTAAAGGGACTTCTAAGATACATAACCTTCATCTTGTCCCTGCAACCTCTGCCAGTCAGTTCTTCAAAGATAAGCTTTCATTGTGCTTGATGTAGACCCGGTTCATCAAGTCCTTTATAATGCAATATAGTGATATACTCTTCAATTGTGGGCAACACGTCCTCTGGATTGAATGTGACACATAGTCTCCTTGTAGACTGTCATCTGTATTTTTATCTCTTGTATTACAACCCCTTTGTCCATTAATGCAGATTATTCATGTTTAACAAACACGTTTTTGGTAGATCAACACCTCTTTTAAATGATGTAAGTGATGAAAATAAAATGAAAGAGAAAAAAAAAGAGGTAGTGAGGTAAAAATAATAAAAAATAATCATGAAAAATAAAAGTCCTACCCCACATGATATCTACCCGAACATGCTTAATATTCTTACCGGACATGATATCTATCCCGCATGTTAATTTCAAACAAATCCTAACCGCATATTTGTCTAGTTCGCATGCTTTGAACAGAAAATAAAGCATGAAACAAAATAGCCTAGGGTTTGGAATGAGGTTTTGGGGTGGCCCTTAATTCCATGTACTCTCCCGATTAAGGTTCTAAAAAGGTACTCAAGTTCTCCTTGCTGGTTCCCCCTTGGGCTTGCCAGACCCTTAGTCCTAAGCCCATTACAAGCTTGTATGGACTAAGTTAAACTCGAGAGGACACATTCCCTTATGCCCGCACGGTGAATAAATTCACACGAAGACATAAGGTATATGAATCCCGAAGGCTACTTGCTAGGCATATGCGGTGAATAAATTCACACGAATGCGTCGCTTTCACCCCTACTTAAAACGGGTTCAGAACTCGGGTTTAGAGCTTAGAGATGACAATTTTGAAAAAATCTGAAATCATTAAAAAACGTCAATACAACTATTTATCTAAAAAAATAATCAAAGATAAATAATTGGAATCGAATAAATAAATTAAAATTAAAATTTACCATTTTCACATAAAAAGACAACCAAAAATTAATTTCGGCCTGACTCACTTACCTGTCCCCAGCAGAGTCGCCAAGCTGTCGGAACCGTCTTTCGGTTGGGCCCCAAAATTGGGCTTTGACTTGAAATGAGTGGGTTAGAGTCACCACCGATCATTTTAAAAAATATTTAGGCTGATCGGACACCATCTTACCTGATCTACGTTTTACCAGAAATGTGTCGGGTTCGGGAGTCGGTTACAGTCAAGGAAGGATTAACACCCTTGTACTGCCATTTCGGTACCAATTAATTTTCCGGTTGTCTTAGTCGCGAAAATTAAAATTTAAATACTCGATTCAAATCATTTACCTTTAATTAGTTAAAATTATCCCTAAAAAAGAAAGTAAAAATGTTAGATTAAAAAAATACTAAGTAAATTAAAGAGAACAAATAAATAAATAAATTAATTAATTAAGAGAAAAAAATGTTAAAATAATATGTAAAATACTTGAAACCGCGGGCTCCAAGAAAATCTTAACAAGCCCACTTTCAACGACATTCAAATACTCTGTATATGAGTGAACGGCTCCTTTTCCATATACCCAACAATTTTATGTGCTAATTTGGCAGAAAGTAAATAAAGAACAAAGAATGCATTGATGAACACTCATTGCACAGTAAGAACGATGAGCCTTTCGTACCATTTGGGTTGCACAAGCTCTATCATCGTCATTAAATGCATCATCTCGTTCTCGGCTTCTTCGAGCAAGGCTTTGAATGGCCGACAGTCTGGTTTCGTTTTCGTCATGGTTGTTGTGGCTCCAACAGGACCAGGAAGAGCGAGAATGGCAGATCCGCCGCCGTAAGAAGGCGACAATGGGTTCCATCTTTCCCTCTTTCTCTCTTCAATTCCTTTTTTTTTGCTTTGTTATTACCGAACTTCGAATGGGCTTTGAAAAATCCAAAGCATCATAATATAATTGAGTAACAATGTTAATTGCATCCTCTCAAAAATTGCAGAATCACACTCCATCTGCAAAGCCAAAAGGATGCCACGCGTTATTGTTGTAACTTCAACCATAGATGGGTTGTTGTGTTGTGAAACCGGAACAGTAGGCAGAGAGGACTGTCCCAAAGTGATCACGAGCAATAATACCCACAACAGACTCTCTAGAAGCTGAAGAGGGGAGTATCCGTAATACTTTTCGGTGTTGTCGATTCCATGCTCGTTGCATATGACTTCCCGGTACTTGGCACCGATCTGGTTCCCGTATTGATCACCTTGGATCTGCCAGATTTCTCCCCCTTTTTTCCTCTTGATGCTTGAGTCTATTTATAGTCTAAAGAAACTTATTTTTAGCTTAGATTTAGAGTCCCACTTGGACTCAAATTACTTCGGTTTTAGTGTTTCAATAAGACTCAAATACGTTGGGTTGAATCTCACTAGATCAAAGTTGTTGAGTGTGGGCCTGAAAAAATAATAAAAATAATAATATTACATATATAATATATATAAATATATTTTATATTAAATATTATAATGGGACGAAATTTGGTGTCTACAATATCATATAATTTCCTTTTACCCAGGGTTGTGGCTAGGTTGTTGGAGGTCCTGTGCAAATTATTATAAAGAGCCCCTATTTTCTAGACATATTCGATTTTGGGGCCCTATTTTTATGTTTATTAATGACAACAATTGATAGATATACTCGATTTCGAGACCCCTATTTTTATGTTTCTTAATGGCAACAACTGATAGATATACTCAATTTTGGGCCCCTATTTTTATGCTTATTAATGACAACAACTGATAGATATACTCGATTTCAGTGCCCCTATTTTTTGGGGTCCTGTGCAGTCGCCCACCTTGCACACCCTCAGCCACGCCCCTGTTTTTACCACTAAAATCACTTGATAAGTTCATTTATTAAGTTACAAATATACATATAATTTTTTTATTTATAAGTACTAATTGTAGTTAGTTCAAGTGGCATAATTAGTTGACTATAAAAGTGATTTAGTTTAATGAAATTACAAATGTATGTATTTTGAGTAAGTAAATTTCACCGATTGATCAAGTTGTTTATTTTTGTTTTCACTCATTTTTTTAGTTCATAGTTTCTGCACTCATTAGAAAAATTATCATTCATTCTTTTAGAGTTATCCCTATAAAATTAAATTTAGAATTTGTTAAAAAATATGTTTTATGAAAAATAATGTTTTTGATAGTATATAAAACAATGTTAAATTAAATGTTTTATAATGTAATTCATCACATAAAATGTAATTAAAAGTATTTAGTGTTAAAATACTTTTTTTACATTTAAATAAATTATATTATAATTATTTAAATAAATAATTTGAATGTAGCAAAAAAAGCACAAGCATTTTAAAAATTAGGTGACCATTGGTTAGTTCATATAGAAGACAAGAAAGGAAAGTCAATTTAACATCTCGTTTCGTTGAACAGAGGACCTTGGAATCCTTAAAATGAAATGAAAAGCTTTGATTTATTGCTGGGAGACGAAGCTTTGGTTTACTCTGGACTCGTTTGCGTTTATGATGCGTCGCTTTGCATGTGCATCCAAAGAAACGGGTCAAACCAATTCAACCAACCCGATTTATTGTTCTCCATCCGATCTCTTTCGATCCGGTACTTCCCTTTTTCTTCTTTCTTTAATTCCAATTTTTGATGGTGCTGGATTTGTCTTTTGATTTTTTTCTCTTTCTTTTTCCTTCGTTGTTTCAAAATTTGATTGTGAGATTGTTAAATTTGTTTACCTTTTTCATTTTTCTGGTTGATTTATACAAATCAATTCAATTTTTGCATCATTTAAGATCGTGTATTTGTAGAAGAAAGAAACAAAGTAACTTACTGCATTTGTGGGTGTAATTCTAGTAGATTTTGTGGATAATAATGAGCTATCTAGCAAAGTTAAGCTTAGCAAATGGATTGGGGTTTAATTTTGAAATTAGTTCCCCTAAGGAATGATTTAAAAGTAGGAAAATAGGAAGAAAAAGAAGAATAAGTCTTTAGAATTTAGATCCAATAGGGAAGACAAACACAATTGAATCTCAGGAGAATACATGTGAATCTTAAGGGTAAATTATGCTTAATGCAGTCTTCTTGAGGTAGTTAAATCTTAAATATATGTTCGAAAATCTGGTTTGTTTTAAAATTTGAAAATTGAAGCAAAATCCTCAAGGGTAGATCATAGCTTGATTCGGTCTTCTTAGGATAGTTAAATCTTAATAGCGTGAAAAAAAATTCTAATTAAGAAAAGTTGAAACTTAAAGCAAAATCCTTGAGGCCTGAGGGTAGATTATAACTTGAATGCAATCTTCTTAAGGCATTTAAATCTTGAAATCATGTTTGGGTTCAGTAAGAGAAGTTGAAAATTGAAGCAAAATCCTTGGCCATAACTGAGAAGAAATTATATCTTGTTATCAATATATGTTGCATGTATGGTACACCAATTAGCAAGACAGGGCTTCTCACCAAGGTTAAAGCAATTAAAAGATTGAGTATATTTGATTGTTGAAAATGGAAACCTGAGCAAGTGAGAATAATGATAAATATGCTTGGAGAAACACAAGAAATAATAATTTGTTGAAAAGCAATCAAATAAGTTAAGAAGATTATTCTATCAAGATTTTATGTATGTCTAGCAGATTTCTTTTTTAAGGACCTGGGGATAGTAATAGTAGTCCATTGTAGGATAGGAAAGAATCAGTTACCAATTTTGCTTTCTACTCTGATTAGGATTAAAGGCATACTGATATGAAATCTGAACTTGTCCTGAAACACGTGGAAGTTGTAATTCAAATGGGATTATAAAAAAAATGGAAGTGTATTCATTTGGGTTAATGTGTGCTTCATTGTTTAAAAAATATATGAACTTTTAAGTTCCGAATCTAATATGCTAGACCATGCATTCCAATCCAGTACGCCAATCATGACAATACTATGGTTCAATTTGGCCTCTATTAACATGTTATTTACCAAAACTTGAGACTTCACTGTAGACCATGTGTTTAGAATGCTTTAAAGTTATTTGTTTTTCAAATTTATTGATTAAGCTGTCTAAGGTTTCGTACTTGACACTTCGTTTTATATTTCTCAGCTTCAAGTAAGGCATCTTCAAAAGAGATGGAACGGATTGACAACCTATTTTATTTTTATGCCAGTAGGTCTTCTGGTATGATTGAGTAAGTGCTTAGTGGAATATGCAATTCAGTAAGTGAATTTGTAAGTTTGGTATTTACATTTCTTGTTGAATTCTGTATATTAAGGAATAAAGTTATTCCTTAAATCTAGGAGTTAACTTAGACTATTAAGGAATAAAATTATTCCTTAAATCTAGGAGTTAACTTAGACTTGATATTCTCTAAATCTTAGTTCCAAAATTTTAGGAATTATTTCATATTCTTTGCTGTCTACTTTCCTATAAATTATACACTATTGATTCTTGGAAGATAGAACAATAAGAATAATTCTCTTCTCTTAGTTTTGTTCATCACATCATAGCTTTAGGTCTTACTTGATTCTGCTCATCTTTTTTTTTTTAAATCCATCTTGTCTTGTCTTTCTCTCATGGAAGACAATACAAAAACCTCTTTTGAATATGAGACTTCGCGTGTGTCTCATAATATCACTCAAGTAACCGCACATGGATCATTGGCCGTTCAAGGTACTGCTCTTAATACTACCTTTGAATCCTGTATCAGTCCTACTGGATTTTAGATTCGGGTGCCTCCGATCATATGACGGGTAATTTGTCCCTGTTTCACACATATGCCCTCTGTCACAACCAATCACATATCCGAATAGCAGATGGCTCTTACTCTCCAATTGCTGGAATTGGGACTGTAATCCCACTGAGAATTTTTCGCATAAAGTTCTACATGTCCCTAATTTATCCTGTAACTTACTTTCAATTAGTAAACTCACGGAGGATAAGAATGTCCTTGTTGAATTGCTCTTGGTTGTGTTCTACAGAAACAGAAATCGGGGAGGATGATTGGCATTGCCAAGGTAGACAATGGACTCTACATATGGGATAATCACAATGAAGTGGATAAACAAGGAGACTTGCAAGTAGGAACAACACTTTCTGCTTCGAATAAGGATATCATAATGTTATGGCACTGTAGGTTGGGGCACCCAAACTTCCCGTATTTGAAACAATTGTTTCCTCAATTATTTCGGAATAAAAATGTCAATTCCTTCAAATGTGAAACTTGTCAAACATCTAAACATACACGTGTGCCATACCCCTTAAAATCATATATCCAATCCCAACCTTTCTCTTTAATTCACAGTGACCTTTGTGGGGGATAGTCGAGTTTAAAATGTTACGGGAGCTAGATGGTTCATTACCTTCATTGATGACCATACTAGATTAAAAAATTCGAAACACCAAAAATATTTCAGAGTTTCCATTCCATGATTCGTACCCAATTTAACTCAACTATACACACGCTCCACACCAATAATGAAAGAGAATACTTCAACTTTGTCTTAAGCCCATACCTTTCCGATCAAGGAATTATACATCAAAGCTCTTGCCCTTTGTATACACCACAACAAAATGGAATTTCCAAAAGGAAAAATCGACACCTACTAGCCATTTCTCGAGCCCTAATGTTCACAATGAATGTCCTAAAATATTTTTGGGGTGAGGTGGTACTCACTGCTTGCTACCTAATAAACTGAATGTCTTCCAAGGTCCTCAACTTCCAAGCCCCTCTCAATACCCTACAAAAAGCCTTTCCACTATTTTGTGTTCCCATATTGCCAGCAAAAATCTTTGGGTGCAAGGCCTTTGTTCATTGTCACCAACCCAACCAATCTAAATTAGATCCTCGGGCTCACATATGTGTTTTCATAGGATATTCATCTACACAAAAATGGTACAAGTGCTATTCTCCTTCCTTGCATCGCATGTTTGTCTCTCGCAATGTCACATTTTTTTGAATCTGGACCTTATTGTTCAACAACTCATCTTCAGGGGAGACTCTCAATGAAGATGAGAATCTCAATACTCTGCTCATCATACCTCCTGATCCTATTCCAACTATCCCGATCACACCAAATCCTAATAACCATGATATTATTATGATCCCTGATACAGTGATATTGCTTCCCTTCCCACAAAAATACAACAGCCTCAAAACACTGTACTGACTACCGAACAACAGCAACAACAAGCTCCTGAACTCCTTGTTTATTCTCGGCGCAAACATTCTTCTGAAGTTGACACAGCAACAATGCCAATCTCATCCAAACCCGATGATTGTTCCATGCCCGAAGCATCTCTCGATCTCTCTATTGCAGTTCGTAAGGGCACAAGGACATATACCCAACACCCTATTTCTCGGTTTGTATCTTATGAGAATTTATCTAAGGCGTATAAGACTTTTGTGACTAATATTGATCATGTAGACACCCCAAGAAGTGTGGAAGAAGCTCTTGAATCAGCCGAATGGAGACAAGCTGTCTTAGAAGAAATGAAGGCTCTCAAAAGCAAGGAACATGGGAAATTTCAGATCTGCCTGAAGGAAGAAAAAAACAGTAGGCTACAAATGGATTTTTACTACAAAATTCAAATTTGATGGCAACATAGATCGGCACAAGGCTAGGCTTGTTGCCAAGGGCATCACCCAAACATATGGTCTTGATTATGACGAGACATTCGCACAAGTTGCAAAACTTAATACGGTATTAATACTTCTTTCCCTTGCTGTCAATCGAGATTGGCCATTGGTTCAACTAGATGTAAGAATGCCTCTCTCAATGGCGAATTGAACGAGGAAGTATATATGGATTTTCCTCTGGGGTTTGAAGAAGAGAAGGGTCGAGTGTGCAAATTAAGGAAGTCTTTATAAGGGTTGAAACAGTCCCCAAGGACATGGTTCAGTCGATTTGCTAAAGTCAGGGCCAACAGAAAATACATTCAAGGACAAGCTGATCATACTTTGTTTCACAATCACTTGGGAACTGGTAAATGTGCAATTTTTATCGTTTATGTTGACGATATCATACTTACGGGGAATGATCCTAGTGAAATTAGTGAACTGAAGAAATTCCTTAGCACATAATTTGAGCTTAAGGACTTGGGAAACCTCAAATACTTTCTTGGAATGGAAGTAATGTGGACACAAACAAATATTTCAATTTTTCAACGAAAATATGTCCTTGATTTACTAACTGAAACTGTCATGTTGGGCTGCAAACCTGTCGAGACCACAATGGAGTTCAATTTGAAGTTAGGCATTAATGAGGATGGAGATGAAGTAAACCGAGGGAGATATCAACAACTTGTGGGAAAACTCATATATCTATCTCACACATGACCCGATATCGCTTTCGTGGTAAGTGTCATCCGAGTGCTAAGGTACTTGAAGGGAACACCGGGGAAAGGTCTACACTTTAAGAAAACAGAAAGTAGATATGTGGAGGTTTATATTGATGCAGATTGGGCTGGTTCAGTGAGAGGCAGACACTCTATGAGTGGTTACTGTAGCTATGTATGGGGTGACATGGAGAAGTAAAAAGCATTCTGTCGTTGCTCGTAGTAGTGCTGAGGCTGAGTATCGAGCTTCGTCGCATGGTATATGCGAGGGAATTTAGATACAAAGATTAATGAGGGAACTCCTTCAAGTACCATATGACAGGCCCATGAAGATGTACTGTGACAACTAGGCAACGACCAGTATAGCACATAATCCAGTCCATCACGATCGTACCAAACACGTGGAGATAGATCGACATTTTATCAAAGAAAAAGTCGACTCGGGAGAGGTGTGCATAACCTACTTACCCACGAAACAACAAGTTGTAGACTTGTTAAGTCTCAATAAAATCCAGTTTGAAGAACTTAGTGGCAAGCTGGGTTTGATTAACATCGACACGTCAGCTTGAGGGGGAGTGTTGGAATTATATATGTTAAGGAATAAAATTATTCCTTAATTCTAGGAGTTAACTTAGACTATATATTCTCTAAATCTTAGTTCCAGATTCTTAGGAATTATTTCATATTCTTTGTTGTCTACTTTCCTATAAATTGTACACTATTGATTCTTGGAAGATAGAACAATAAGAATAATTCTCTTCTCCTAGTTTTGTTCAGGTCTTCTGGCACCTTTGTTATTTTGGAGAATTATATTGTTATATGGATTTTCGATAACTACTAATATGTTACACCCAACCCTTTTTAAATAATTTTTAAGTTTAAAATTGTGTACTTTTCAGGCGGTGTCATCCAACCTACATATCCTGTCTTGCTCCCTTCTCTTTCGTATAGATGTTAGGGATTCTAGTCACAATCTGATATGTGAGCTCATTATGACAAAATGCCAATGTGCTATGAAGTTCAAATCTTTTAGATCGGATGACTGATATGCTGGTTGACTGCTTGAATGGAGTTTATGTGTATACAAGCAACAGTATATATGTTTGTTAGATTTCTTCTTTGATTTTCAATATATATGATAGTAAGTTCAAATTTCAAAATTATTTTTCTGAAAGGTTTAAATTCTTGGCATTTTCAATAGTGACAATTGAAAAAAGATAGTTTCACAATAACCAAGTAAGCTTTGGAGCATAACAGATTTTCTTTCATTTGAGCTGTGATTATAGGATTTATTTTCGAACTGGGAAGCTGTAATGAAGTTGAGATTAAATTTTTCTATGTGGTACACAGCCCAAGTTTTCTGCTTAGAGAATTTTAAAGGGTAATCTGCTTATATCTACCTATGGAATGATTTGATGATGGATTAAATCCAATAGCTAACAAGTCAAGCTAACTGGTCTTTTGCACTAGTTAACTCCCCATGTTGCTTGGACTCAGTAGTAAGTGCCGGATATATGTTTATTTTCGACAAGATTTGGGTTCATTTTTTCTAAGTTTTCTCTTAGAAGGCTGGAACGTACTTGAGTATGTCAGATATGTTGGATGTGGGTACTCTAGGAATTGAAGAGGCATGACTGCATAGAATAGAAGTGTCCAAATGACAATCGAATTAGTTCAGGGGTCATGCACAAAATTATATTTAACTTTGTTCTAGAAATACTTAATACTGTGAATTCTCGATGCAAAGCTGAAATAAGGATGCTGATAGCTGCATGTTCAATTACAGTTTTTATAATTTGTTAGTGTTGTGCATTAAAAATTAGTATCATCATCATGGAAATGAGTGCTGCTTGACTATTTTGAACTGCATTCTAATGTTATGATAAACTATTTGAACAGCCCAGAAGGAATCGAAACTCTATGTTCCAACATGGAAGTTGATCACACAGATGTTAGGATCTTGATGCTTGCTTGGTAACTGTCATATAAACACGTCCAATAACTCATTTATAGCTTTTATCCTAAGCTTTTCTGTTGAATTGTGCATGTGTCAGGAAAATGAAAGCTGAAAAACAAGGATACTTTACCCTGGTAAGAATTTTTGTTTACCTTCTCCATTTACTTTTATAATTTAACTGTTAATGTGATCTATTATAATTTGGTTGAATGAAATTGCTATATGTTTCTATGCCCTCTGATTATTTTTCTTCTTTAACATGGCATGGTCGTATAGAAAAATCAGTTTCCAGTCTCCTTTTTTAGGTTGACTATTCATGTAGGCTGTACATCGATGCCTGGATTTCTGTTGTCATCTATGGTTTTGTTAATTGCCATTTTTGGGTCTTGATTGTACTCATTTTGATCAATTTCCAATATCTGTGATTTGATCATGATTTCCACGAGCTGCGAAAATACTTTTTAGTTTTTATTGAAAAAATCTCTGTTGATAGGAGTTTCTTCTTCATATTGTTATGATCCTCATTAGGAGTGTCATAACAGCTTGGATATAGGTTGACTGATACATTGTACCTTATAACTAGCAATATAATGATTCCTTAAATCCCAAGTTCTCTCTATATTTTTTTATGTTATGATGAAAATGGCGTTTGAACCTTATATTTATAGGAGGAATGGAGAAGAGGACTAAAAGCACTGAGGGCTGATACTGTAAGTAAGTTAAGGAAGGCCCTACCAGAGCTAGAAAAAGAGGTAGAAAATTCTGAACTGCCTGATACCTGCGGTTGATTTACTTGTGTAAGATAATTATGGTGGAAATGTCTGCAAAAGTGACGATGTTCTCTTTTTATATTATAAATAGGTCAGGAGACCATCAAACTTTGAGGATTTCTATTCCTATTCATTCTGCTATTGCCTGACAGGTATTATGATAATATTGTGGCATGTATCTTGGATGTCTTTACACTGTCCCATTTTCCTGATTGATCTCCTCCTTCTCGAATTCACGGTTGCAGAGGAGAAACAAAAGAGTATTGATATAGAAAGCATATGTCAATTGCTGGATCTTGTTTTAGGATCCCAATTCCGTGCACAGGTTGACTATTTTATTGAGTATTTGAAGGTGGGTTATGACAATTATTGCATTTGACCTCATAGATTGGAGTTGTTTATACTTCATCCCTTTTATGTTTCTGTTTATACAGACACAACTTCATAAGTTATTGTGGGGACGAGTTCATTTCAGTTTTATCTTTTAGGATTGTGTATGTGTGTGTGTCTGCACGTGTTAAAATGTCTGTTAAATTGATGGACTCTACAAAAGTTTGTTTATAAAATAGGATTAATCTGATTTAAATGTTTAATTTATTAGCTCTAAAGTTGCAGAAATGAATCTAATGACTTTATAGACTAGTTTACAGAACAAAGTTGCCCTTCTGTCCAAAAAATAAATGAGGCTCATACCATGATTGTGTTTTAATGTAGATTCAGAGCGATTATAAGGTCATAAACTTGGATCAATGGATGGGCTTTTTTCGATTCTGCAATGAGGTACATCAAACTTAATGCTTGTCATGGAATTTTCTAATGTGTTCCCTAAGTTTAGATGTTCCACGATATAAAATAGGGTCAGCAAATATTTCTGTTAATTTCATATGTCATGCTCACGCAGAAATCACTTTAATTAAAAAGGGATTTTGGGATAACTTGTACAATTATACTAGTGTCTTGGATGACGTTCTTACTAGTTATACAAAGACAATAGTGATTGGTAGTGTGTAGCAGGATCACCCTAGCATATTTGTAAAATAATAGAGAAGACGGAAGGGATGCCATCACTTCCTGCAGATTGTGGTTATAATTGAATCCTTTCTCATGAGATTTTATTGGTCTCTTTTATCTTTTTGTTTTCTTTCATCTTCTTTTTCTCGCAAATATGGATCAACAATACAGATATTAACTCTCTTTAGCATAAGAATTGGGATTATTTTGAACAAAAAGAAAAACGGGACAGTACAAATAGTTGGAAATCATTGATCTTCGCAGTTCAATGTATGGACACATTTACTTCCCCCCCCCCCCCCCCTATTATTTATCATCAGATAGGATAGAGAACTAGAAATAAATGTTGTAGCTTTAATATAATCTTCAACTGCTACTTGCATGATTGCATCCTTGCACCGTTATTTGTCTTAGTAACCCTGTTATCAGAGCCATATGTCTTGTCTGAGATCCTCCTCATGTTAATAATTGAGCAAGTGCTTGCATTTTCCCTTCTCTGATATATTAGCAGATAACTTTCCCGAACCTTGGTAATTATAATCCGGACCTCGCTTGGCCGTTGATCCTGGACAACTTCGTAGAATGGATGCAGGTGAAGCAGAGCTAAAATCTATTAGCTTTGGTCCACTTGATTCTCAGCTATAAACTTCATTCGGTATAAATACAGGTTCTTTTTAAAGTTTAAGCCTCCTCTCTTTGATCTGTTTTTCTAGAGCCTTTCGTGAATTTTTTCTTCTTCTTTGTTTCTGGGAGAAGACAAATCGACTTGAAAGTTTGCCTAGGCTTGCATTATGTAATAACAATGTATTGTGAATAATCTGTTGTCAGGAATGTTCAAGTTGTAGCACAATGTTTATCCAGCTTATCTTCAAAACGTGAAGGTCTTCCTCAAAACATACCTTCCAAAGTTAGTTTCTCGGTGTTACATATATGCAGAGGATAATCTCAATGTATCGAATTGTATTTGTCTTGATATTTAAAAATATTGTATTATGATGTTATATTATGAACAAAATTGATTCATCAGATACAGCATAAATGAAATTGGTAATATTTCTTTCATACTTCCCTGTGAAGATCAACCTCATCGTCTATGTACCTACATCGGACTGTCATCAGCAACCAGCATTTTAAGTTTCCTAAGGGCACTGGCGAACAATCTGTTGGACATCAATTTCGGTAAGCATAGTGTGAATTTCATAAAATTTACCTTTCTAGTGTCAATCCGCTCTGCTATTCTTTTTTTTTTTTTTTTTTTTGCATGAAACATGTCTGATAGAAACAGCTCCGCCTTGCATGGTTATGCCTTGATAAGCTTTATGCTTGATGGTTGTATATCATGCAGTGAAAAGGACTTGAAAGTTGTCTTGGACAATCAAACTTTAGGTAACCCTTTTGGGAGCATATGATTTGGAGTTAACCGGGTGCATACATAATGGCATAAGTTGGATGTTTTTCCTTGTGTTGTGCCCATGTCTGCTTATATCCCATTCACGTTAAGAGTTAATTTGATGGTATCATTGTGCTGGAATGTCCGCCATTCATTTGCTTCTGATGACTGCTTGATGTTCAATTGAAAAGACAGGGGACGTTTCTTCTGGAGGATTTGAGTGGTCTTGTAAAGATGTTTTTTCTTTCAGGACAAACTACGACAAAAGTAGGTCCTAACCCAGGTCTAATCAAGTTAGTTCCCATAGTTACTCTTTAAACGATGAACGTCCAGAAAAACTATAATTTTAACATCTGTAATTCTTTCTTGTAATTCCTAGCGATACTTTTGGTATCGGCTTTTCGTGGAAGGTGGTGTTGAAGTAAAATAGTTGATAACAATGTTGTATAAGCTGACGTAAAAGTATCACATTCATCAATTACTCGAGTGTGCAGTTGTTAAAAAAGTAAGTGGTAGTTTTTGGGTGTGTTGGGCGGTATTATTATTAATTATCTTAAAGAAACAACATAATAATTTGACATTTTAAATGTGGTCTTATACTGGAAATGGTTAAATGTGATCTGAACGCTAGAGGTTAAGACAAATATATATATGTGGGACCCTAAGTTCTAATTGTTATTTGGCAATTGCCATGCTTTCTAGGCTCTTTTTTAACCTTTCAGAATTTTGTAATAAATTGCATTAATAAAATCTCCTCCATCCGCAAAGATTAAAAACAAAGAATGTATGTTTAAAGAAATGAGCAAATAATGTACCCAAAAAAAAACATAAAGAAGCCATTAGAAAGAATTGATAACTTACAAATGTACAGATTTCAAGCCTCCAAATATTCCCAATGTTAGAATAATAACAAAAATATTGCAACCCAAAAAGAAAGAAAGCCTTGGCTTTGCTTTCAAAAGAAAATAAAAGTAATCAAGATGATGGAGCAAGAATGAATGGTGAAGTCTACCCCGAGTCTGAGATTCAGTGGTCGAAGGCGATGAGCTCGAAGATGAGGTTGAAGATAACGTGAATCTGTTGGAATCGTTCGTCAATTTCTTCTTTTCTCCTTCACAGGATTTGTCTTCGATTCTGTGATGCTTCACCTTGGTTGCACTTAAAGTCACTGGAAGAACGCAGTTGCAGAAGAACCCTACCAAATCAACAATACATTATCAACGATGATCGTCCTTCTAAAAGTTTTAAAATTCTCATTTTATATATTTTTCTATGCTCATTTAAAATTTTATAAATCAGACTCTTAAAATTTAATAAGATAGTATACTAACATCAAATTATGTGCATCTCAATTACAAAGTATTCATATCCGAAACATATTCCGATATAGGATAACGATCCCTCGAAGGTATATGTGTTTCAAAACTATTCCTACAGATGTCATCACTCTTAAATCCGAATCCGAATATCATAAGATTTTGACTCGTTGTTGACACTTTCAACCATTATCTTCCCTACGCAGAAGAGAAATCAGTTTCCATGGCAACTTAAAACGGCAAAAAATGGACCACGAATGAAATCAACAGATAAAAAAGGGATTATCTCAGGAAAGGCGGGTTAATATACGGCGTTACCGGATACATTAAAAGATATTTAATAAATTCGGTTTAGCGTTACCGGAAATGTTGACTAATAATAATGTAGTAGGTCTAAGTCATGAAGAAATATTAAAAAATTGTGCAACCGGCAAACTTAACTTGTCGGTTCGTGTCGATCCAAATTAAAAATGTGTCGATCCAAAACGATATAACAGGTAAAACTATGACAAAACCGGTATTGAAATGATAAAACCGGTAAAGCGCTACCGGATACATTTAAAGTGTCGTTAAAGTTTTAAATCCTATAAAGTGTCGATACTTTTAAAAAAATGTATCGGTCCAAAACGATATACCAGGTAAAAATATGATAAAACCGGTATCAAAATGATAAAACCCGTAAAACGTTACCGGATATATTGAAAGTGTCGATACTTTATATAAGGATCGACACTTTGTGAATTTAAAAGAGAAGCAGTTTTAGCGCCTATAATGTGTCGATACTTTAAAAAATATATCGATCCACAACGATATAACATGCAAAAATATGATAAAACTGGTATCAAAATGATAAAACCGGTAAAATGATACCGGATATATTGAAAGTGTTGATACTTTCGTAAGTACGTGTAATAAATTATCGACACTTTCAAAGAAATATGTAATTATCCTTTCGAAAGTATCGACACCTGACATAAAAGTATCGACACTTTTGTATTTGTATCGATTAAATATAAATAACATATTTGATGAAAATATAAAGGTCATAGCTAAATATCCTCTGAAAATAGATAGAACGGACGAGTTTTTGAAATCGAAGCGTAATTGTTGCTGCATTTCAGAAGGCGTTTCTAAAGCGAAGTTTGTTTGTTTGTTGCTACAGTCGAATCGAAAAGTATGTTGTCGAAACCCTAATTTTTTATTATTACAGTAATCGCGATAGGGTTTTTATGTGTTATTTGGGGTTTTGGAGTAAAGATGCATTTGGGACCGATTGCAGGTAGAAAGTGATATTCAAGGAAAAATATAAATGTCGATACTTTTATTAAATATTATAGGTAGAAAATGATATTATAGGTTGTATAAATGTGCCGACACATTTTGGTGTGGCCATTCAAATTCTTTTGAAGAAAACCGTTTTACCACAAGAGTAGTTATCTATATTTGTATAGTGAATAAAGTGTATGTAACAAAATAATTTGATTTGCGTAAACTGATATATGAATGAAAAATGGAGTTAATGGGTTGGAAAATTATTGGTGGAGCAGATGACTTTAAAATTGAGGCCGAGACTCGAAAGCAACCAAAGGGTGGATATATGTACTTCTAGTAAGTATCAATGTCTTTTTGTTATTATTGTTGAAATGGTAATTGGATTAAAGTATCGATAAACTTTAAATTGATTACAAATTTTAAATGTTGACAGTATGGTCGAATGCAAAAGGATGAAGGAAGATGGCACACAGAGCGGTTCAGTATGTAAAATGAAATTGACATTGAGTAGTATTTAGTGTTAATGTATTGATTAAGAAACGTTTATGTTTAATATTAGGTGACAAAAGATGTGAGGTCCAAATGGAATTCAATGAGTGATGCTGAAAAGGAACCTTACATCACACAGTCAAGGAATGATAGTAAAGAATACAAAGAACGGAGGAAAACACATGAAAATAAGGTATTCATTAAACTTGTAAATACGTTGATACAAAATATATAAGAACTATAACATTATATATTGTTAAAAAATGTAGGAAGTGTCGACAAGATGCAACATTAAAAGGGTGAATTCATTAATTAAACAACTTAAGGAGAAGGGTCAATTGAATGTGCTGGGAGAAATAGGTTTTGGATCGTTGGTAGGAGTAAGGGATCGACCTATTCGGAGGGAATTGTGTCGATCCTTGATGGCGCAATTTGATGTCAGACAATGTATTGCTAAGTATGGTGATTTTTCATTTCCTCTCGGGATCCCATGTGCTGCAGCCGTATTGGGGGTAGAAAATGAAGGCAAAAGTGTTGTAGAAGTCTGTAAGAGTAAGGACTGGAAAGCACTTGCCTCCAAATATGGTTTGAAGCAGAATGTGACATATGCTGAAATTGAAGAGGAAATAAAAAGTGGATCTTACGTTGGGGATGAGCTGAAGGCCAGAGTTCTATTATACCTTGTCGGTATCTTTCTTTGTCCAACGGGTAATACGTCAACGAACAAGGAACATATGAAGCTCATTTGCGATGAAGGCTTGAAGGGTGAATTCAATTGGGCTGAATATATACATTCGAGATTGATTGAATCAATAATCACCTTTAAAAAGGGTAGCCAGAGATACCTCAAAGGGTGCATAGCAATCTTAGAGGTAAATGAGTTGAAGAACTTTTTTGTGTTTTTATATAAAAATATAAATTTTATTATAAATGCAGGTTGCACTGTTCGATTTTTGGTTGGGCTGTGAGGCAGTGCCGGCTTATGAAAGAACCGGAGTGGCACGCATCCGTGCATGGGGGAAGGAAGAGGTGGTTAGAGTGATGGTGAAGTTGAAGTTGGATAGAGCGAAGAAGCAAGAAAGGGTAATAAATGTAATTAAATAATATTAAGAATATAATCAATGTCTTAATATTGTAATTTAATTTTGAAGGTTATTGGCAAGGATGTAGAGGAGGCAGAAGAGAAGAAAGGAGAGATGGTTGTATTGGGGGATGACGGTGAGTGGGACGACGGTGAGGGAAAACATAGTAACTTCGACATTTTGATGTCTGAATTGGCTGATATCAAAAAAATCCAATTTGATATCATGCAAAGATAATCAAGAGTCGAAGAGAAACTTGATAGAGTCGAAGAGAAATATGAGAGAGTCGAAGATACACTTGAGAGGCATAAGGGGGTAGTGGAAGGAAAAATAGATGGAGTGGTGAAAGAAGTAGAGGTGTTGAGGGGTGAAGTGGTGAAAGAAGTTGGGGTGTTAAGGGGTGATATTAAGATGGTGACGGGTGAAAAATTTGAGGGAGTGGTGAAGGAGGTTGTGGAATTGAGGAGTGAACTTACGGGGTGAAGGGGGTGGTTGATAAATACTTGAATGAAGGAGATCAATTGAAGGGTGAAATAAAAGAGATGAAGAGCTATGTAGAAAAAAAATACGATGAACTGAAAAAATATCAAGAAGAAAAGAGGGAGGAGGAAGAAGAAGAGATAGAAGAAATGAGGAGGAAGGAAGTCGATGTCATTTATACACCGGAGAGTGTTATAGCAGCAGATTTGGATTCGGAATGTCCTGCACCCCAGAAGAAGAAGCAGAAGGTAAGTTGAATAAAAGAAAACTTAATTTGATTTTTATTATGTTGTTGTGACAAAAATTTGTATGAAAAATTGTAGGTTGAAAAAGCAGATATTCCAAGCGGAATTGATGACATCGAAGCTGCAATTTGTGATTATTTATGGAATAGTGAGTTAGAATCGGAGTAAGTGAAATATATTGCTTTGTGAGTTATATTTAAATATTTCATGACAGCATATTAATCCTAATGATTCATACAGATATTCTGTAATCTCAATGGGAAATCAATTCGCTAGTGTATACGATGTTGCAACGTTGAAGCCTACGGAATGGGTTGGCGGTGTGGTAAGTAGAAAGTAGAAAATGTTAAAACTTATTGAATATGTTCTGATTGTGTAATTAATTTTGTTAGGTTATTGATTTGCTCGCCTGGACAGTATGCTACGATTCTCAGAAGTCACTCCGGAGGATTGGCTACCTTCCATACCACTTAGCGGTGAGTTAAATTAATAAATGGAGATAAGTAGTGTTATAGATGGTAAATTAATAATGTTTGTTGCGTAATTGCAGCCGCAGGAGTTGGATACCAACAACAAAGAAAGTGTTGAGAGTATTGCTACCTTCTGGGGTCCTATATTGAATAACTATATGAAATTCACCGACTGTGAGAAGGTAAGACACCATACCAATTACAAATGATGTTTTCGGATATAGAATGTTGAATTTTGTCAAATTGGGTGTGAAATTTGTTGCAGATCATGATCACAATAAACTACCATAATTCACATTGGTATCTGTTGGTGTTGGATATGGTAGATCGTGTTGCAACAATATATGATAGTATGTTTACAACTGAAGCAGCTAAACAGAGAGTGAAGGATGCTAAGAGATTGGTATGTATGTATATATGTATGAAAGGACATTATGTAAATTATAATGCATAATTGTTTTGGATCATAACTTCTTCTATTTTAATGCAGATTAAAATATTAGATTCTTATAATAAGAAACGCATTTGGGTTGAATCCTGTGGATCTCTAGGAAAGTATCCCTTGAAAAATTTCAAATTTGTGGAGCATAAGAAGAATAAGCAATTGAATGGGTATGAGATGTTATCACAAATAGAAAGCTTAATTTATGTAGTATTCATCATAATTGACATGTGTGGTTTTCAAATTTTGTAACAGACATGATTGCGACATGTATGTGATGATGTGGATGGAATCGATCGGTTCTACAGGGGCAACTGGTGATTTTGTAAGTGGAAAGAAAAATTCGTTTGTGGTAAAATTGTTAAAAGTCGTAGATTGAATGCTGTAGTTTACAATACT